GCCAAACATCATCTCAATGATGACTGGAAAAAACCTCATTCTCTGATGAAACGGCATTCCAAATACAAGTAATTATTGTGGCAGATTAAAAATGAAATCGGATTAAAATGAAATTGGGGTCTTTTTGAATCCTCTTTTAATGCCTCTGAAATCCATATATACTCTTCTATTAACAAAAGTTACCCTAAATCCTAACCCAAATTCCAAAAAAAACCTAGAAAATTGCCCCACGAAATTTTCATATTAAAATAGAGAAAATTTCATTTTAATCTGATTTCATTTTAATCTGTCACAATTATTTGTACAAGGTAAATAAACGGTCCGTCCAATACCAAAAAACTGTTCAAAAATTTTTGCACAGAATATCATTTATATAGGACGCAATAAATCAGCGATTTTATTTTTGACATTGATAATTTAATTAACCCATTATTCTATCCTTTATTTAGAAGATAACAATGATGATGACGGCCACGACAATGATCATGGCAACGACTACGGCAACGACCACAATAATGACTGCGACTGTGATAATGGTGATGAGCATGTTGACTATGGATACAATGACGACTACGTACTTGACTATACTCTATATTCTTCCGACTCAGAAGAATTAGAAAATGAAGAAACTAGTAATACTTGAAATTAATCATGTACAAATCTGTGTTACCCGAACCGGCCAGACCGGAAAAAATCGATTTTTTTCAGATTGAAAAATACCGGAAACGAAGTATCGGATTCGGTTCGGTCACGGATTGATCCGATATATATTTCCATAAATTCAATAAAAAAATATCTTTTATCTATTAAATTAATAAGTTATTAAATATAAAATTAAAATAATTTTTATATCATGATATCTTTTTTCTAAAACTACAAATTACCGTTACGATTTTTCACACTAATTAATGCGTGATGATTTTTAAGGTTAAAGTATTCCTCCGATAAGTTAATCATAGTCTCATCATCAATGTATCATATTTTTATACAATAATGAGCTTAAATCACTGGTTATGATCATATTATAATTTTCTCACGTTTTTGACTATGATTACATTATCATTTTCTCAATCATTTTCTCACGTTTCATATAATTATGTGAGTAAAAACAATATTTCCCCACCTTTGCACATTGTGCTTAGATAACTTTTTAGCATCATGTCTGACGAATTCGAAAAAATAATTGCGGCAAAAGACTTGAATGTTGACGGACTGGAAATTGCCACAACGAATATAAAAAACGTATTAAATAATTTTTATCACTTGGCACATTTAAACCAATCCCAAAATCAACCCCAAGACCAGAAAATCAACTCTATTGTGAACGAAATCAAAGAGCAAGGTGTAAAATTCCGTGATGTTACCGCACAAAGTCTTGTCGATGTTCAGAAATCGAAAATGTTGGCAAACGATGTTCAATCATATATTGACAAATTGACCGATGGCGTTTCTTCGAGTGACATGGATGAAGTGTTAGACGATATATCCGATTCAATTAAACAGATAATTGATGGTTGTAAGAAGACAGTCGATGGATATAAAGAAATTAACAAATCGTTAAACGGAATCTATCAAAACTTAAAGCAACGTGAAGATGAAATTAAAAAAGAGAAGGACGAACACGAAGGAACTCGTCAAAAACATAGAATAGCTAGCATTGCAACCGGAAGTGCATCGGCAGGCCTTGCAATTTTAGGTCTCATTCTTATTCCATTCACATTTGGAGGAAGTACGGCCTTCATGACACTTGGTGCCGCCGGTTCGATAGCCGCTAGTGGGGTGGCTACATCCGTTGCTCTTCGTACAAGTTGGTTGGAAGAATGTGAAAAAAATCTACGTCATATTCAAGTAATTGATAAAGAAATAGGAAATATTATCAACGTTGTTCAAGGTTTTGGAATGTGGTGGAACGTAACGTTGCAAAATGTGCAAGCGTCCAAAGAAAGAACTGAAAATAAGATCAAGGCTCAAATGGATCGAAAAAAAATTAAATTAAACAAAATCATTGCGGGAAATATGAAGAAGGACTGGGTCGAATTGGAATCTCGATTTGAAAACTATTGCACGGAGATTAACAATTTGATCGTTTAGTAAATCAATTTGAGAGGATAGCCGTATTAAAAGAAGTTTTATTTGAATATGTCAATAAAGGCTTTTAAACACTTATGCCGTACGTCAAGTTCTTAAAGATATGAATGCCTTTATAAATGAATATGTAAATTTTATTTTTTTGATCAACAATCTTTAATACTTATTGTCGTTATCATCTAAGCCAGGATGGTGCAATTTATCAATATACTGTACGTGCCCTTTTTCGACTAATAATTTTTGATCTTCAAAATCGCATACTTTTTCTGTTGATCACCGACTTTATGAAATAGCCCATGAGAAGTCCCGTGATTACGAAATTCTGGAACGATATTCAAATTCTTATATCTCTAAAATAGAAATGTGTTGCGAAAATAAAATTAAATATTAACCCTATCGTTCGACCCAATTAAACTTTACCAATTCCTATAAAATTCTTACCTTAAAGCCTCGCTTCAAAAATTCATACAAAATTCTTTGTGTTATCAATAAGTGACGTTACCTCCCCTAACGACACGAATCCTCCTAAAGAATGTGATTGCAGGCAGAAATCCACAAACATTCGAATCGTAAATTACTCTCTTGATCTAACGAAATCCTCACAAAGTTCTTATCAAAGTTCATATTTTGCGCTGCACCCAGTTTATTTTTCATATATTTATTTTATTTTTGTTAACAAGTGCAATTAATTTTATTATTGTATGTTCGAAGCATAGCTATGCCCCTTTTTTGAAAGAATTATTACAATAATTCATATCTTTGACCTGTAAAATAGATAGTATTAGTTGCTCAATTGTATATAAAGGACAGCGCTCGCAAGTTAGAGAGACAAGTTTTTGTATGGTTTGAAGAAAAATAAATAAATTATTTTAACCTAACATCTCTTCGGCTTTTATTTTTTGTGTCTGAACAAATTGATAGCTTTATTTCTTTTGTGCTTAACAGAATCGAAGGCTTAATTTCTTTTGCCATAAAAGTATATGCGTTTGATTCGATTATTTAATTGTGATTATTTTTTAATTGTTGAAGGAAACCCTATAAAGCTTGATTGTGGTAGTTGAAATGTGTTGGTAAAATTCTAGATGTAATATTTTTGTTAATTAAAGTTATATTTTGTATATTTAAAGTCATATTTATTATATATTTGTTATTTGGAATCAGCCTTTTCGTTAATTTGAATTAGAGTTTTCTTATTAATTGATATTTTGTTGATTAAAATTAGCTCCTTTACCTTATACTGTCTTTGATTGCTCAATCTTCGTGTAGATTGGCATAGAAGCCCAGTGAACCTACTTCGCCTAAATCATTCTCAATTCTTGTTGCATTTGTAATTCTTTAGTCCAACTAACTTCTGAATTGCGCGTAACAATAACATTGAGTTTATTTTGACATAAATATCACAATGGCATGTGTATAGTTTAATATCATATTATTAATAAAGCACAAAAATAACTATATAAATGAGTCAGAATATAACAAAAAAAATACATGCAATTGGAAGCATTTATACTTAACTTGTATAACAGCGTTTGCAAATAAAAAGCGCGCTTCATATTTTAAAAAATCTCGAGTTTCGTTAATTTAGCCATGGTAATTCTTTTTTATTTGCGCATCCGATATCCGGATATAAATTGTCATTCACAATTATGTTTATTCGAGAAAATATGATGCCACAGAGAAACTTTGCATAATTCATGTATAAGGGTAAAAGAAAAATATTAGTAGTTTAATTTCTACATGCAATAACGATAAGAGACATTGTTATTTCCGCTTTTCTCGCTTGCTCTATATACGTGTACCTTCTTTCTAATACATATTATGTCGTGTTTATATTTAATTGACACAAAAAATCATTACATAAACTTTGTTGATAGGAAATGAACAATCTTTTGTTAGCACAGAGGATACATGTAAATGGGTCGGTTCATACCTTAAAATTAGGACCGTGATATTTATCAGCTAATATTATTTTGAGAGAGATCTCCACTCCCACCTCAGATAAGATATTGCAACCCAAAAAAATTAGTTAATAAAATGTTACTGCCCTTATCAAACCGCAATCTAAATTACACAGTAGAAGATAGCGAGACACCCATTTGTAATTTGATTTAATATAATTTTCTAAAAATAAAAAGTTATAAAACAGATAAAAATTTGTAACATTTCAATACAGGAGTTTTGCATTTTTTACAATTACCGAAACATGACTAACATGTACTAAATCGAAAAAAGATAAATACATTTATTCTTGCAATAAACAATGGAATGTTCGCTTATATATGATTAATACCAACTATTATTTATGTGTTGATATTTAGCTACACTCATTAAAGCAGACATTTACATTCAAATGTGAAACTAACAATCAAAGAAATCAAAACGACATACAATGCCATCCATCAAAAAAATTTTCTAGTGCAAGTCGTTCAAGTTCAGCAGATTCGATTTTCCGATATGCGGGCGACCGAAAATTTTATCGAGATATTTCCACGTGATGAAAGTGAAATGATACGAGCGAAAAACATAGCAAGACTTCATGGCATGGGAATTTCTCTTCGCCAATTGAAGATCATTAAAAGCCGGTGTATTGGACGTTGGGTGAAGCATTTTTGAGTTCTACTAGTCTCTAATGAATGGTCTTTTTAGATATGGTCAAGGAATATGGATAATCTAATTGGCCAAAGCATATCCATTATGCACATTCACAGATATTGATTTTACAAAAATGTTAAATTCATAGAAGCCAATATCCTTAAAGGAATACCAATTGAATTCGATTTTGTGGTTATGCATTTTTTAAATCGCTGTTTCACGAAGCAACAATGGGAATCAACAATCATTCAAGAAGTTGCTCGTGTTATGAAACCTGGAGCATGGATTGAATGGATGGAAGAGGCGGGATAAAGTGTAAATCCGTGGATTCATTTGAAATTCCAAAAATATTAGAATATTTATGAATATAAGACATGAAGAACGACCACTTATGAATAGTCTCTTACTGGAAAATGTGTAAGTAATATGTTAGCATTCATTAATCTATTCACCTTTAAACTATTTTGAATTATTTGATTAATCATTTTTTTTTTAGCTTAGAGAAATATTTATCGATACGTTACAAGATTTTTAAAAAACAATCTATGGAATTTATTGGCAACACGTCTCACGACTACTCAATGAAGCACTCGAAGAAAGTATCGTTATATCTAAGTTTAAATTTCTAAGTATGTATTGAATTATATGAAACACATATCATTATACTAAAATAAAATATGCACTGACCATGATCTGTATCGCTTCAAGAACATTACTAACAGCATGTGCATTTTTTCGCTCATTTCCTGTTATTAATAAAAAATAATCTAAGGCAAACAAAATTAAATAGCACTGCATATATTAAGTGAATTATTCACCAGAAATGATAATACTTTACGTTTATCAAGTGGTTAATTATTGCCAATAATACTTTACATTTATCAACAGGAATGATATTTTGGCCAGAAATATCCAAAGGCAAACAACCAAGTATGGCAATACTTTACGCTTACAAGAATGATATTATGGCAGAAATAATCAAAGGCAAACAACCCAGGAATGGTAATAATTTTACGTTTTTCAACAGGAATGCAAGAAATAATCAAAGGCAAATAACCAGAAATGGGAATACTTTACGTCAACAAAATAATGATTAGCACTGCATATATCATATTTTGCTTTTTAACTTTCGCCAGAAAATTGGAAATATAAAAAGATGTGTTCCATTCTCTCCCTTTCTTTCTCTTTTTCTGCTCATAAATTTATAAACCTAAAACTGCTATGATGCAAGCGGTCTATCCCTTAAACCGTCCATTTTAGCGGGCAAATTGGCCAGCTAAAATAATTAGAGAAAAATCAGGCCCAGAAATAATTTTTATTCTAAATCTCGGCTAAATTGACCATGATAACTCCTGAATGGTCAGGTCACATGGTAACACTACAGCCACATCGTGATGTGTCAAATAAGTGTCAGAATTTTGAGTCACATGAAATTTCATATGCTTCGGCCGTGAGGTTCGTGGGGGAGCTGAAAAATTTTGCGCGTGGACATTTATTTCCAGAACTATTGTAATAATTATCAATACAACTACTTCATTCCTTCAAAGTACTCTCCATTAAACTCTATACAACGTTCTAGCCAATTTCGCCAACTCTGGAAAGAGTTCTTATAGTCCTCTTTTGGGATACCTTCAACAACTACCTGAACAGCCCTTGCCAAGTTTTCGACCTTATCAAATCTCTTTCCCTTTAGTTCTTTTTTTATTCAAGGGAATAAGAAAAAATCACAAGGAGCAAGGTCTGGACTGTATGGTGGGTGGGGAAGAAGTTCTACTCATTCATTACAAAGATATTCCATTATGATTCTTGCTTTATGTGCTGCAGCATTATCGTGATAAAGCATAACGTCACAAACAGTTATTCTATCTCTTTTTTCCATAAAGTTTGAAAAAACTTTAGATAGTATCTCATTGGCATAAAGGTTAGCATTAACTATTTGTCCTTTTGGAACCATAAATTGTATAATAACTCCATCTACAGAAAAAAATATGCAAAACATTCTTTTTTTTGAATTTTGAGCCATCTTCACAATTTGTGATCTATTCTCATCCTTTTCTAGTCATGACTTTTTTGCTTTCTTATTTGAAATAGTAAAGAAATATATTCATGTTTTGTTACCAGTAATAAAATTTTTGTATTCTCTGTCTAAAATTTTTAATAGTTGCTTGAAAAGTTTGACACAATTTCATTTATATTCCTCTGAAAGCCTATGAGGAATCTATTTTGCACAGAGTTTGTGGAGATTCAGCTTTTCATGCAAAATGTAAGAAATTCTTTCATGAGAAATACTGACTTCATTAGTTAATTCTTTAATAGAAATATGCAGATCATCACTAATAAGATTCTCAATTCTGGAAATTTTTTCTAATGTCATTACTTCACAAGAATATCCAGAATGGATGTTATCTTTAATTTCTTCTTTTCCATCTTTGAATATAGCAATCCAGTATCTAATTATGCTGATAGATAATACTTATTCTCCTTCTATATTTACTAATTCTTCATGAATTTGAATTGTATTTCTGCCATTTTTCCAAGAAATAAAAATAAAGTATCATTGGTTTTCACAGCTCATTTTCTTCTAGTTGTTTTACTATACTTTGCAAAAAAATTATTTTCTTGACAATGAGATAATGAATTTGCTTCTACTTTTTTTTATTTGTTACATAAAATTATATGCATTTGATAATTATTTCCAATTTTAATTAAACTGATGTAATCTTGAGTTAGAGTATCACATGCAAAACTTTTCAGTTCTCTCACATATTCCAAGTGTTCAAACTATTAAAATTATCACTACTATTTATTTTTAATTGCTATATATTTAAACAAAATAAGATTATTATATAATAATAAAATTTTATAGAATAATTATTCTGGCCAAATTAAAAAGATTTCTTAATACATTTACATTAATAAAATTATTAACAAAAATATTTTTATTTAATCTTAAAATCTTAATAAATACAAAACTTTTGAAGTTATATATAAATATACAAATTATCAATGAAATAAATTTTATTATTCATTATTATTTTTTTTTATAAAAATTAAAAGAATAATTACAATTGCTATTATAACATAGAGATACTTCATATGTTACACATCAAAGGCTAACTTTGATGTGATATTTTATGATATAAATTCAAAATTTTTTTACTTTGCCAATCAAGTGTACTATTGACAAGCTTTCCTATCACTCACTTTATTTTACAAATGATTTCCAAATACTAATTATTGATTTGAAAGTTCAAATTTTTTGTTATCTTTGGTCATTAAATTTCTTTTTTGAGTTATTTCTTAGTTAAACTTCTCTTATATTATTAGCCAAGTTAATATTATTAAATATTTATACTTATTATGATTATTCATATACTTTATTTTTATATAGAAGAGCTATAAGAAATAAAACTATAATTAAAGAATTTTTTGACAAATTTTTTATAATAGCTTGCTAATTCTAAAAATAAGTAAAGTTTAGATATATTAATTAATTTTTAATTTTTAATTGTAATTATTTTTCTTTGATCAACTAATATATTATCTATTAATATAAAATAATTAAGATATTTTATATATTGTTATATTAAATTATATTTCTTTTATTTAATATGTAACAAATTAGAATAATTATATTAGATTTATATTTTATTTCACAAATTATTGCTGCATCATATACTATATCATATGTAACT